AAGTATAACTAAATTATATTGAAAGTGGAAAGACGCAGACATTCCTATCAGCAGATGAAATGCGGAAGTTGTTGTTTATTTGAGTTAATTTGATTGATGATGAATAGTGATGTTATGAACAAATTCTCAGAACAACAGCCAGAGTAAATTAAAATAGGAATTCAATAAGTAAATTAAACAGAGAATATGATTTTCTCTGCTTTCACCATGAGTGTTAGTTAATGCCGTTTGAGTCAAATATTATAGTGAAATATGATCCTGTATATTCCATTTTAAAAAAATGAGACGAGAAAGAAAGCTATGTAAAACCTGATATAGAATTTTCATTTTATTTTTTAAATTCGCATCTTTTTCAATTGTTAAATATCTTATTAGAAACAATTTTTTTAAGGCAACAAAAACGTTCTACTAAAGCACCTTTATATGAATTATTAAAACTAAACTGTCATTATGTGAACAACAAAAAAGTTATATAAAAACAAAATTGTACAAAGTGACAAAAGACGCATAACTTTGGATCACTAGATGAAAGGGGTAGTTTGGATCCGTTGCTCTTCATTAGGGTTTATTTCAGTTAGTGGATTGATGAGGATGAACAGAATGTGACATTTTAAAAAATTATCAGAAGAACAGCTAGAGTAAATTAAAAACGCAGATAAGTAAGTAAATTAAATTATTAATTTTTTTTTTAAAGAGACGACATTATTCTGAGCTTTCGACTTAATTCAGTTTGAGCCACATAATATGTGGTCTCATAAGAAAAAGCAAAAATTTTAATGGCGTGTTTCTCAGATCAAAATAATACGATTTAGCACCTCTTATCTTAAATGAAGAGCCAACGAAAATCGAAATACAAGGAGTCAAAAAGTCAAATAACTTTCAAACAACTTGGAAGTTTTTACTAAAATTAGGTATTCTAAAGTTGTCTCCCTTTAAAATCCCCTTAAAAATCGCCCTTAAAACGGTTTTCTGATTTTGCTTAGCGGCAACCCACACGTGAATAAGCAGATATTTTCTGCTATTTTTTGAGATTCTTTAAATTAAAATGTTCGGTTCGATGCATTTATAAAAGCAAACCGCCGATTTTTTGGTGGCATAATAATGATAACAATAACAATTTCATAAACAAAACAATAACTAAATTTAATAACACTAGTAAAAAACTGATCAGCTTTTGACAAAAGTCGTTCAAAAGGCCGTTCATTACCTTCAATACATCACACGATCTTCTATTGATTTTTGTTTTATAATTCGCCTCGGATATCTATTGTTTTTTCGCACACTAAACACTTTAGGTATCCCCATATAAAAAAATTCTAGAGGACTAAAATCCATAGTTCGTACTGGCCATTGTGTTTGACCATTTGACCTCCATCAATTTAACGTTTGGGAAATTTTACATTTAAGTAATTCCTCACTTGTAATGAGAAATGATTTCTATTTTTGTGCACTTTTCTTCTTAGGTAAGTTGTGTTAGATCATATTATTTTTACCTCAGGGATCCGCTATTAATTTATTCATAAAAACCATTAGTTATATAAACCTTCTCAACAAATATAGATTTAAGTGTTTAAAAACGGATGTATTATGTATGTGTGTGTTACACTACATACCTAGTAATTTCTCCCAGACGAGCTAAAGGATCGAATCCACCACTGTGTCTCTTGCTTTGGTCCTGTGCCATAGCTGGTTTAACACTTGAACATCTAGCACTAAGCAAAATTGTACTTGTAGAGTTTTAGTGTTTTAATTCCAGATTGTGCACTGATTTTTCACGTATAGTTATCCGAACTTATTGTACGCACCAACACATTATCAAAAACTATCGTGATAACCAAAACATTAATAGAAATAAGACAATGCATCTTTAATACAGCCTTAAAATTTCGTTTCAATTAAAAAATGGATGGCACCGGACAATATCACAACCACGTTATATAACCTATTGAAAAAGTATGAACAGGAAGAAAATATCGCACGTCGCGTCAAGGAATATCTTTAGAATCTTAAGTTGGCTCATTGAATGTAACGATGGTATTTATTAAGAGTTCATATACCGAGTTGCAGACATCTTTAGGTAGTAATGCGTGGCCAATGACCCTGTATTAGAACAGAAGTAGTTAAGGCTCGGTTGTTTTACTTTCATTTGCTGCAAATCCATTGATTGAGCCATTCATTCAATTCTGCAATGGCGTGACCGACTACGACATGCATTTATGCTGTTTTCAAGCGGTACAATTAATCTGAGATGCTATTGTTCATTTCAATCTTGCAACAGTTTATCTGTTAAGCATTTTTCAGATAAGATGATCTCAGCTACGGCGATGAACTTTCCTGTCATAAGCTGAAACAAAAACATCAAATCTGAACATCATAATAATATTTTTTATGCGCACAAAGAGGTTCAAAGAAAGTTCAACAAAATGAACGTTAGCGTGCTGGAAATTAAACGCATCCCAAAAAACAGAAATGCTGAGAAATTCAAAAATATTTTTATTTGTTGCATCTAAACAGACTCAATTTGTCCTTCTATTTACACAACTTTCAACAATTTTTCCTTCTGCCCACTTGAAGTATCAATCATGTTTTGTCTCTACAAAAATAACACATTACATTTTTAATTGCTCATGAACCAGTGTTTTAAAAACTATTGAATAAACAGCCTTAAATTTCCTGATATTATAAGACCTACTTTAGATACTAAAGGAAAATATGATAACATCCATTTATGGTATGAGAATGAAAATATTTTAACTGGGTAAATTGCAGGAATTTAATTAAACTAAGAATAGTAAAAACGAATAAAAATAATTAGTGGTTGACAAAAAACTTCTACTAAATACAAATTTTATCTAAATTTCAAATGCGAAATTTTGTATATGAACTCATTATAACTCTGTTGTTTTGATAACAGATTTGTGCGCATTTCTTTTAGATAAATAGATATAGGGTCATTAAAAATTAAGCGGATTAATTTTGAGACGTTGTTTTACGTTCAAAAATGAGGTCAAAATTTGATTTTTACATAGGTAAAACTGCAAATACTTTGTTTTTAAATAACAAGATGTTAAAGTTTCAATTTATATTGTTAAAATTACAGGAAAATAGATGATTTTCTGATATTTTTGTAAGTAACTCAATAACGACCGCAGAAACAAAAAAAAACTGTTACAGGCAAATTATTCTAAATTGAACTAGGAATTTGAACCAAGGTCTGTGGCGCAGCAAAGAAAAGTTTGGAGTAGTAAAAGAAACCAGACTCTAGAAAAATTAGCACCCGTTAGAATTTAACAATCAGTTGGCAAGTCAGTAGTCAGTGATATATAAACTCAGTATATAAATATACTATTGAAACCCGCGTCATTAGGACTTATTGTTACTGATATTGATATACCAGAAACAATAAGTAAATTTGATGCTCTGGAAGAATGAGACGAGAAAATATATTAACAGGTCTTAAGAATATAAAACTGCCCCTAGTACAAGGTGGGCAAAATTAGACTTTTTCATGGGTTATTTAGGAAAAAAGTTACCAAAAAATCGTTATGGGTGTTTTGAGCTCGATTTTTGCCAAAAAGAAAACTGCGCTTATTAATTTGGTGTGTTTAAAGTGATCCAGACCAAAATTGCCGTATTTGTATTTGTTGACCAAGTAATTGAAAAAAAATAT